CTGCTTCTCCCTCTGACCCTCCCCCCCTCATGTACTCGCTCTCTCTCATTCTCTCTCTCAAATAAATAAATAAAATCTTTAAAAAAAAAACAACAAAGTGGGTTTTTAGACCACTTTCATCACAATCATCTTGGCACTTTAATGATGAACCAACTCCTAAACTTATAGTACTTATTAATACAATGCATTATTTTTTAGGTTAAGTTCTGACATAAGAACTGATTCTGCATTGCCAAACACCTGACATATTCTGTACTTGAGCTCACAGGATATGTTGTGGGAAATATCTGCCCTAGGACTATGTCAGGTTACAATTAGAAGGAGGATGCATGATCTTCATGAAAGATAATGATTGTTCTTATGTACATGAAGGTATCCTCTAGTCCCTGTCGGATCCATGTATTAATAAAAAACTTGAAAGGTGAACCTTATCTACATAAAGATATCTACTTCCTTCAATTGAGAAGGAAGTCCCTCTTGATGTGCATTAACCTTTGAGAATTATCTTATTTTATGATTTTTGTTACACATACTTTTCCTTCCTTACAACATAAAACTTTACTATTAAACAGTAATAACCAGTAGTACTAGTACTTTTATTTAAACACTACCACATTATCTGTGAAATAATACTTATATTAATAAGAGTTTGATAACCACGGCCACATAATATCTCAATTTACAGATCCAAAAACCAGTATTCAGCAATTTGCAGAAATAAAATGTATCTGAACTTGCTAATGTTGTTATAATTTAGAAATTGTCAGTACTATGTGTTTATAGTTTCTCCAAAATAAATCATTTCCTTTGGGGCATAATTTTATTGCTCTCACATTCCTTCCTACTCTGTTAAGTCTAATGAGGTTTGTTTGTCCTTTAGGTGACCTACAAACGAGATCTGTATGCAGCGGAATCGATTATTAAGGGTATGTTTGGCCTTGTGACTGTCAGTTCCTGTGTTTCAAAAATGTAAGCCAGTTCAGAATTTCTCATGACATTTTAAATCCCAGAATTCTCAGAAGTATAAATGTCTGTAGGCCACAGAGGTCTGTGATTTGTGTTTTGTTTTTTTTTTTGAAAATAATTACATTTTGTGTTTGCTGCTTGTGAAATGTCACTTATCACTTATGTCACATTGGTTTTAATTTTTATAAAGGAAATAATTTATGAAAAGTATGGGACACTGACACTATTAGAAGTAAAAACCGATTTTAATAAACTTAAGATACTTATTTTTACTAAGAGGCCTTGTCACCCACCCCCCACCCCCATAACACTGCCATATCAGTACATGATATAGCATCTTTCATATGAAGGTATTTTTCCCCCATATATAGAAATAAGACTAGACGATGTGTTAAATTCCTTTTCAATCTTGACAATGATTGCAATTTTGTTTTGTAGTTTAGATACTGCATGTGTAATAACCCCTTTATCATTGTTTTCCATCTTTAGGCCTCACAGCTACACAGAGGTAGTTTATGTAATAATCAACAAATATTTGTCATTGTGCTTAACAGTGTACTAGGAATGTAATGATGATGCACAGGGGACATTGATTGCCTATTTTTGCAGCCTCCATCATTTCAATCAGGGTTTCTGAACCTCAGCACCCTTGGTATTTTAGTCCAGGTAATTCTTTGTTGCGGAGACTGTTTTGTCCATTGTACGTTGTTGAGCAGTGTGCCTGGACTATATTCACTAGATGCCAGAAACACTGGTCCTTCCCTCCCTCCGTCCCCATTGATGTGATATCAGAAACACTGTTAAAACTTGTGGTCCTGGCAAAAATTACAGCGTCGATCCTGAACCAAGTATGGGGCTTCACAATCTGTTACTGACACCTTTGAAATAGATGAAGGGTAGATCTGTGTGCTCAGGTTTTGACTGAGAGGTGAACTTGGAATTCAGACTTGGAAGTTGAAGAAAATGTTGAGTCTGAACTCTGAATGCATCAATTTGTTAAATAGGTTTTCCCCCAAAGTTTGAATAATCAATTGGCTTCACATTCACAAAACAAATCTTTTCTCTGGTCATGACATTGTATATTTGTAGTCTATCCTCAAGGTTTTTGTCCTTCAAGAATATTGTGTTGCAAACCATTAATGTACCATAATTTATACATTTGTGTATCCGTGCATGTAAACAGATGATCTATAGCTATAAATCAAAATGTTGGCATGTATTTACACATCAGCCAGGCATTGTGTAAACATGATTGTGGAGAAGTTGGCTAAACCATGATGTGGTTGGTTACGTCCTCAGCAGAAGGAAATAGAAAACTAGTCTGGTTTCCATACACAGTCATACCTTTGTTACCTAGGTACAATGGACAAGACCTATTTTGTGAGTAGTTGGTAAGGGCTCCTACTGAGAATTGCGCACATTATATTTGCCTACAATTTATCAGAGCAGGCTTCTTATAAAGTAAAAGCCTACATTTTAACTGTACTTGTAATGACTATAGTTTTGGAAATTGTATACAGAGAGGAACTGTTTTTCTTCTGTAACATGTTTTAGTGTGCTGTTTTTATTTTTAAGCATTTAAAAAGTATTCTTTTGTTATCAGGGAAAGTAATCTGACTGGATATAAATGGCTGATCAGTCATCTCCAAAAATTTCCTTATGCTCTAGGGTTTGCATTTCTAATAACTTTCCAGGAGATTGTGATGTTGATCATATACTTGGAGGGCCACTCCTCTGGGGCCTTCCCACTCTCAATGTGGGCCTCTAGATAAACAGCATGGTGATTACCTGAGAACCTGAATGCAGGATGTGTGGCCCCACCACATTAAATCAGAATATGCGTTTTAGGCAAAACTCTGGCTGATGAGTTTGTATGTTAAATTTTGGAAACATTCTCTAGGCTGCTCTTCAGTATTTCACAGCTCCTTTCTTTTTAGATAATATTTTTATTGCATTAAGGACTCTTACTGTGCTTTATCAGCTCCAAATGCTTCTTTGCTTACCTGGGATTGCTACCTGCCTCTGTGATTTGCACTAATGCTATCTCTGAGGCCTGATAGAAACAACACTAGGCATAGGCAAATGAACACCCTTGGATTTTTTAAAAATTAAATTACAAAATAAAATATATATAGCAGATTGTCTGAGCTAGGTATTTACCAGTTTGCCTGTTCCTAGTAAATGTTCAAAGTATTTTTCTAGGCACTACTGTAACACAGTATTTATTGGGTACTTACTTTGTGTCAGACATTGTGTTATATGTATCATCTCGTGCTTCTCCAAGAACTTAATGATGTAGGTCATGTCACCGTGTCCATATTATTGGATCATCAAGGATTCTAAGCAATTACTGATTTAAGAAGGATAGAAAATAAATTCTTAACTACAAGTTTCTGTCTTTGGTAGTTACCTCTTTTTACAGCTATTACCTCTTTTTTTCCTTAAGCAGAGATTGTTTAGATTGCCTTCTCTGAAATCCTTGACCTATATATGTTTTGAAATTCAGAATACTTATATTTTCAGAAGTTAATGCAGTACATAACATATTAAGTCACATCACCAGTGGGATTAAGGACCTTGCAACATAATGAAAATTATAATGCATGAATGTTTACATTCAGTACAGGAATAAAGACTGTAGAACCTCGAGTCCAAGTTCAGGTCTGATTTTACCACCAAATTTATATATGAAAACAATTATTAAATTTTCTATTTGGATTTCAACGTTGCCCATAACTTGGTGTGAACCTCTTTTAGATTGATTCAGTGAACTTGAGAGGATGTCGTCTTGCTCTTTCTTTTGTTTTTATTTTTTGTAGTATCTAACATTGAGTTTAATGGAATGTAGTTGTGTGTTGTAGGGTACAGCTACATTTTTTTCCTTAGAGTTGAAAAAAATTTACATTATGGGGAGAGGTGGCTCTTTTCTCTCACGACACCACTTTACCTGCTCCTAAGAGACTCATATTGTGACCCAATGTACCTATTCTTATACTATATAAACTTTTTTCTCAGAGATGATATAAAATTGGGTATATATACTTTTGTCAAAGTTTAAAACCAGGATTGGGAGCACATGGCATTCATGCCAGTTTTATTTATTTAAATTTTTTTTTTTTAGTTCAGACAATTATTTTTGTTTTAATTTTATTATTTTATGTTAGTCACCATACAATACATCATTAGTTTTTGATGTAGTGTTCCACGATCCATTGTTTTTGTATAACACCCAGCGCTCCATGCTAGTACCCATCACCAGGCTAGCCCATCCCCCCACCCCCTCCCCTCTAGAACCCTCAGTTTGTTTCTCAGAGTCCATAGTCTCTCATGTTCATCTCCCCCTCCGATTCTCCCCCCCTTCATTTTTCCCTTCCTTGTCCCAATGTCCTCCATGCTATTCCTTATGTTCCACAAATAAGTGAAACCATATGATAATTGACTTTCTCTGCTTGACTTATTTCACTTAGCATAATCTCCTCCAGTCCCATCCATGTTGTTGTAAAAGTTGGGTATTCATCCTTTCTGATGGCTGAGTAATATCCCATTGTATATATGGACCACATCTTCTTTATCCATTTGTCTGTTGAAGGGCATCTCGGCTCTTTCCACAGTTTGGCTATTGCGGACATTGCTGCTATGAACATTGGGGTGCATATGGCCCTTCTTTTCACTACATCTGTATCTTTGGGGTAAATACCCAGGAGTGCAATTGCTGGGTCATAGGGTAGCTCTATTTTTAAATTTTTGAGGCACCTCCACACTGTTTTCCAAAGTGGCTGTACCAACTTGCATTCCCATCAACAGTGTAAGAGGGTTCCCCTTTCTCCACAACCTCTCCAACATTTGTTGTTTCTTTCCCTGTCCATTTTTGCCATTCTAACTGGTGTAAGGTGGTATCTCAATGTGGTTTTGATTTGAATTTCCCTGATATGCCAGTTGTTTTAAATAGGTTACCCTCATCTTTTTACTATAATGTTGTAACAGACATAATACAACTCTCATTTTGAAGATGGGTAAACTGTGGTTTAGATTCATTACTTTTCTCTTGGTCCTACAGTAAGAGCAAGATGCACAATTTAAACCCAGGTCTCTCTTGTCTTGAAGCCTGACTTCACTCTGGGACATGGCCGCTTGGCACCTCTGAGTCATAAGCTACTCAAGCTGACTGCTGTACTGGGTGCTAGACTCATTAGTGCTCTTCTAGTCAGTACAGCCAATGGTTGGTGAAGTTCAGCTTACCCAGCTCTGACTCTGTTGGCTTAAAACTCTCTCTCCATCTGGCCTGCTGAAGAGTGAGCACACAGTTGTGACCGGATGTATTCTCTTACTGTGCTGTGCTAAACACATGGTATAATCTTCTAGAGAGTGTGGGAGAAACATAACTGACCTCGCAGATTTCTGGACATGCCCAGAGAATGAGCAACAATTAAAACTCAAAATCGTAGATTCAGAATGATGGGTTGGCTACTGTTTAGTTTTCTTCTTTGTTAATTCTGGTAGTTGAAGGCTTATCCAGCCATAGCAGTTTTTCCTTTACCAGGATAAAGCTTTTTTTCATCCTGTGATCTGAGTGCTTCGTATTCTGTAAGTGGTCCTTTCTGAGTTGCTTTTTCACTTGAATGCCAAGTAGTGCTGGTCAACAAATTTTATTCTCATGAAAGTATTTTCTTGTTTCGATATTTTAAGACTCTACAAAGCATTTCCTTGATAAATGTCTTGCATGTGCCTTTTGTTCTCGCAAATTTACTTGTCACTGGAACGGCATGTATGTTTGATGAATCTTAATGTTCGTTCAAGTCCGTATCTTTTGTTTAGTATGGGAATTTTTTTTTTAATTTTTTTTTTTTATTCTTATGTTAATCCCCATACATTACATCATTAGTTTTAGATGATAGTATGGGAATTTTGATGTAACTAACTTTAGGCACGCTTTTGACTAAAGTCCCCAAGTTGTGGTATC